GAACTTGTTGTGATCATTGGAATTGATAAGATCTCAGACAAGTTCTAACTTGATGCATTTTTGATGAACGGTTTTCGAGTTATTGCCCTTGACTTTGTAAAAACGCGTCAAAATTTGTTCATGAGCACAATAGAAGCTACAGTTTTCAACCGATTCTGATGAAACTTGGTGTGATCATTGAAATTGATAAGATCCCGGACAAGTTCTAACTTGACATATTTTCGATGAAATGTTTTTAAGTTATTGCCATTAATATGAAAAACGCGTCAAAATTTGTTTGTGAGCACAATAGAAGCTACAGTTTTCAACCGATTCTGATGAAACTTGGTGTGATCATTGGAATTGATAAGATCTCGGACAAGTTCTAACAAGAGATATTTTTGATGAACATTTTTTGAGTTATTGCCCTTGACTTTGTAAACACGCATCAAAAGTTGTTTTTTGCCCTTGATTAGAGCTGTGTGATTTAATTGTTTGTTGTATTTGGGTTATTGATATTGATTCTAAAAAATTTTGTGGAATTATTCAGCATAAATAATTTCAATATGAGAAAATTCGTACTTTAGTCACTAAAGACTGTTTTATTATTTCTGACAGCTGCCAGTGGGCATATGTTACCTTGCAACGCAAGCTATCTTTAACGTAACTGCCTTGATTGAAGTGTCCATATAGCTAAACTATACATCGTGTCACGAATATGGGTTTTGACATGGTCTTATTAACCTGTATTAAACTAAGCCTACTACACTTTGTTTTGGGGGCGTGGAAATGAGATTGATGGCATTTAAATCTGACCAATCAGATCAGTAAAACAGAAATGAGGTCATGTAAACAAAACACAACACTGCTTTGACGCCGCCCGTTTGAAGAGATAAGAACACATTCTTTCCAAGTAAATATTCCAAAGTAAGGTTTGATTTTCTCTTTGCTTCCATTCTTTCACAAAAATCTTTCTCAATTCTGTAGTTTCATTTGGTTATGTTCGCAAACAAAGCATCATAACGAGTGATTTGTTTTGATTAGCTGAAATTTGCTACCAATAAAGTAGGGCCAATTTTGATTGGACAATGTTTAGCTATGAATACGTAATTTTTATTACCATGCCACCGAGGAAGTGTGACGAATAGGGGTGGACACGATGTATTATATATAGAATATAAAAGAAAGAAACAGATTTTTATTTTTACATTATAATATTTGAAATTATTGGAGTAAGAAATAAATTGAATACCATAATATGAATCAAATATATAATCAAAAGTCCTAAAATGTTTTACTTTTTTTGTACCTATCAGGTTTTTTGAATTTTTTCGATATTTTTGAAGAGAATAGGATGTTGATGCTCATGTGTTAGCCAAATTACATTATGATCATGTGCATTGGAAGCTTTTACTTTGAAGGGTTGCGATCTGATGTCAGTTTCTTGAATGGGGTTGTTACTTGGAAGGTTAGGAACCTCGGTAATAGAGACATATACAAACTCAAGGGATTATCATTCTAAAAAATACAGTTCGACAATTCTTATTGATGAGCTTAATTCTTAAAATCATTATGATTACATCAAGGTTAAAATAATATCAACTATAAACCAATAGCTATGTACAAAATGAGTATTAATCACAAATATAGCCTGAACACACAGGAAGCTTGGTGTTTAAGCAAGAACATATCATTCATTACACAAGTCTATTATGAGAACAGTGCATTTGATATAAATCTACCCTCAACATGACTGCTCAAATTGAGTCCATAGTCAACACAAGAGTTTTTGTATTCATATCTCATTGGTCCATTATAATGTGGTCTGAAAACAATAACTGTTACTAAGAGTTGATTTTTACACACAAAATAAAATGAATCTTCTGTTTTTCACTGTTCTAGAGTCTAAGACTATGTATATTATACCAGAATTGATATAGACAGTACATCACTATGTTCTTCTTTTAACCTCCATTAAGACAATTTACACCTCAGTTCAACATGGTAAAACATCTGGAAGCTATTAAGTCCACCAGACCACATTTTGAACGAATAAGCACTAGAATGAGAATATTTCCACACACCTGTTCATCAAATTGTGTCAAATAGTTTTTTAAAGATCCAGCAGGATAACAAGATTCGCACACTGTTACAGAGAGAGATTCATTAAAAACAACTGAAATACTTATCCTTGAAGCATAGCTACACATAGCCTTTTGATTTATGAGAACTTCCTTTCAATGTTTTATAAATTAAAATCTCTTTAAGAGCATCATAAATAAAAATCTTTTATATCTACATCCCATAATACTTTGTTAATTTAACGAAGGTATAAAATCTCCTTGCCACCGTAGTTCTATTGATGGCCATTTTGTTTGTAAACAAAGTTTAATAGGTGACGTGTCAGTTACTATTTGTAGTTCTATTTCATTGGGTAATTCTGCTGTACCTTTCACATATTTTATCTGAAATATAAAGAGAAAGAGTAGGACATTAAACTCCATTCATTTCATTTCTTAAATATAGAGAATTTATCAACTTGAACATGACAAAATCAAAATTCCTGGTAAAAGTGAAATGTATTAATTCCATTTTAAATCAATACTTACCTTCTTATTGTGACAAGACCTAGCTAGACCATTATAATGCTGAATTTCAAACTTCTGTGGTGTAGAGGCATTGTTTAATTCCTCGGCATAGAATTCACCAAGAAAACTACTAGAGGTTATTATACCTAATGATTCACCATCTAATTTACCTTTCATTATATCAACACTACAAATATAGATACAAAATATCATTATATTCAGCTTCACATCATACTGTTTTGGTGTGTTATTAACAACAACAAATTTATATCTGAATATTTACATTCATTTAACTGATAGAACTTATTGTTGCTTTGTGTATCACAACTCAGTATTCAAAGTAGCATCTAATTCACCTTCATTTCAGGGGGAAAAACAATTGAATTTGAAAAGTAATTTAAGGCCTCTCATAGCCTCTTAAGCTTGATAATGGACCAAAGAAAGATAAATCAACATGTTTTACTCACTATTCTTTATCACAGAATAAATTTAACGCTTCCATAACATCTCCTAATTGACTTGTCTGTATAAAACCATTACCTAGTATTGTAAAATACAGTTCATCTTAATACCTTAATCAGGGCTAAGAAATTTTTCACATACATTTATCACAAGAGCAATATAATTGAAGATCTGAACTTTCCAATTAACAGTACATGTTTAAAATATGTATCTATATAAGATCAAATATCACAAAATGTTATATGTGTATTTTAAATTCTCAAATGAGAAATTATTAATCATTTATGTCATTATATGTGTATTGAAGAAAGAAAATTCAATATAAGTACCTACCTTCTGGATCAAAAGTAGCAAATATTTGTTGAGCATTTTTAATAGGACTATTATTTTCTACTAAACCTCTGTCCTGAAAAAATTCAAATCATATGGTCAATATTGTTATTTTCAATGTAAATTTATAGTATGTCTTCTTGAAAACACCATCCACATTCTAACTTACACTGAGGCTCATATTATCTTATTGCCTTGCTACTCAGATTATGGAAGAGATATATTGTTCTTACCTTAGCAAACAAAACAGTTAAATGTGTTTCACTTCCTAACACCCAAATGGGAACACATGGATTTTTTAAATACCAACCAACCTGAAGAATAAACAGAGTATTTTAATAGTATCATATATAATATACAAACAATGAAGAGTTCAGTTACCTGAGGTCAATGAATAAGAAATCTTGTGACTTGATAGTAATATTGAAAGACTTATCAGGAATACTTTATATTTTTATTTGTTTGAAGTTCTCTTCAAGAGGTATATAAGGAGAACAAATGTGTTATGAGCCTGAATTGGGTGTCTCAGGAAGATGAATTCAGAAATTTTCTTAATGGAAACTAACCAATACTAACCTCACAATATCTCATATGTTCTAATAATGTTAGAAAACCCACTACTGATTGTTGCTGTATACCACGTAATACTAAAATTAGAAATCTAGTTTTTAACTCTGGGTCATCTGACATATTCATATGTGAAAAACTGGTATGATAAAAAAACCAATACAATATGGCATAATTTCTATAGTATATCATGGCGATTTTTACCACGACAATAGAAATAGAAGATTTTGTCAGATTTTGGCACTAATGTAAATCCTCTTACAACATTAAAAATTGGGTGAAAAAGATTTCTAAAAATACTTACTCAAACCACAGACATCTTTTTCATTATCAAAAACATTAGAAAGAGCTCTTCCTGTTATCAATAGATTAATCAAACTCTGACTACAAAATAACATTTAATTCACATAATCAATAGACAGAAAAAAAACTTGACAATTTATTCTTATAAATGACAGGTTGATGCAATACTGTTTTAATCAGTTATTTCTGTTAATATTATCTAAAGATAGCATACAAATGATGAAAGCCGACATAAATTGTATTAAGAGAGAAAAAGTTCCTAAAAGCACCTATGTAAGTGCTTTCCAAGGTCACAAATAACAATCGTGAAAGTGACTGTACCAGTACTGTGGATTATCAAATTAGGTGCTGTAGGCTAAATTCCTATCTGGAATATTTTCAGGAGTCAGTCACGTTCAGGTTTTCACGTTTTTAAAGATCTGAAAGGTGTATGTGTTTTACCTGCCATGTCCATGAACACCATCTATTAAAGGTTCATCATTATCTCCTACTTCATTTCTGATCTGGTCTATTCCCTGCATTATAATAAACAAACACTTAATCATTGGATTGTTGTTGTTATAGATGTAATCATACATGTGTACAGGTCAGGAAAAAAAATCTGGAGATTTGCCTTGAAAAATCTGAAGATTGGGTGAAACGTCGGGAGATTTTTCAAAAGCGCGTAAATTCGTGATTTGAAACTCCAAATTGATTGTTTTTTTCTTTTTTTTTTTTTCAAATAAGCTTTAAGCCTTGTAAATTAATTAAATTGATCGTAGGCCTACATGACACAGTTAAAATTAACAATCTATAATTATGGACAATTCTAGAAATAGTGCCTGATATTTTAAATTTAGGGGCCCAAAAAAAATTTGATATTATCATTCTTCAGTAGGCCCTATTGATTGAATCAAAAATAATGTCATGGTGAAATGATGTTTGAAAACAAGAAAGCAAGCATGATCCCAGCCGTCTAAATTAAATGGTACCGGTAGGCCTACATGTAATATCATATTAAAAATCAGTATGTTCTGAAAGCAATATTTAGTAAATAATATGTACTGGCAATGTTACTTTTTCCAAAGGTGTAATTCATGACATCTTAAATATCTCCAGTCTGATCATTATATACTTCCTGCAACACTCTCACGAAGTATTGAATTGAATTTTCCGCTTCCATTTTGACGTTCTTCGGAATGGTAAGACTTGTAATAAGTAAGCCCGTTATGCAGGCAATCAAATGAATGTTTACAGGCTACAGTAAAATTACAAAACGATTTTATGAAACGAAGTTTGAGTTTACATAAGAATTGGACATCCAGTCACGTATGATGCCAATTCTGAAACGACGTCTATGTTATATAGGCCTATTATAGACCTCGCTGATTGGCACTGACGGTATAAAATATTGAGAAGACTTCAAGATTTTGTTTTTTAGTAAAAGTAGGGCTACCGTAAAATTTATTATAAAAGCGAAAGTAGAATCTACCGGATGTTGTTATAAAAAGTGTGTCATGTCGGCTTAAAATACACATTATCGGGTGAAAATAGATCAAATTACCATATTAATTGGGGGATTGATTAATCAGGCAATGATAATATTATTACGTGATGAGATTAATGCATGTTACCGCCAATTAAGATACAAGTGATGATAGATAGGTAGGTCCCGTGAAAATTTGATCAGGAAAAAAACCAAAAATCGGTAGAATCGGGTATCCCGTTGGTAGAGCGGTAGACAACATGCAAAACCGGTAGAAACCTGACAACATCAGTAGATTACACATGTATGGATGTAATACTTCAGTGGTAAACCTCTTTCAATTCCATAATAGAAGTTCTCCGATCAATAAGTAGTAAGTACCTAAAATCTGTTAAATATGGTACCCAGTATACAGAATAAAATAATATCAATCTTACCCGTGATAATAAAATAGAATACATATATAATAATAAACCATATTTCTGTTGAAATACAGGTAATAATGATGTTACTGCTCTTTTCATTTCATTTTCTGATTCACATCTTAAAAACCTAAAAAAGAAAGATATAATACATCTTTAGTTTCTCAAAAATCAATGCAAACAGCAAATTTTTCAAAAAGGGCTGTTGATATTATTTGTCATTTTATATAATTAATAAAACAAAGAAAGTGGTGAAACGGAGATACTTTCATGTACAGGGTATTAAATATAATTGTCATGTTAAATCAGCTCAAAACATGTCATGCAAATTGTTTGGTTATATAGTGTGGTATAACATTCTTTTATCATGATATTGTTTAGCCAATTGATGTAGATTTATTACCTTAATCTAGTGTGGAATGTTTCCCTGTCTATTTTTCGTCTTTTAAAATCACGTTCACCAGTTTCCCTATTTTCACTATTTCCCTGACAAGTTGTATTACTTCCTCCATCTTGGTTACTATGTGGTTCTGATAATGTTACTATATAGTAGGTTGAACTATTTACAGACAATAAAATTTCTACTAAAGCTTTGTATAGATAGTTACAACATTCTTCTTCTGAAAAATAAAATTAAATAATCAGATATTTGTTACTACTAATTCCACAAAAGAATGCCATTTGCCTTAGTTTCAGAAACAGGAATTTTTTTTAGCTTACATAATCAGTAATAGTGTTCACAAATTTGAGCCTATAAAAATCCATGTGTATCCATAATTATTCATGTTTAAAAAGTTAAAAACTCAACAGGAATTTTAGTGAGACTATGCCATATATATACAAAACACATATATAGAAATAGACAGTGAAATTTCTAGTTTGAGGTATATTTGAAGGGATTATGCGATTTCCGTGCATTTTCGTTCTTCTTAAGACTATTAAAGCCCAAAAATGTTGACTTTAATTTTGGGCTAAGGTGAATGAAATGAACTAGGCCTGATGTATTCACCATTCTTATTCAAATTTAATCCAACCATGCAAAAACGGAATTAGTACTTACTTGATAAGTTTGATAGTTCTACTTTAGGATGATCTGAGAAAAATATGTTTTTAAGAATATAAGCTTGTACTGGAACTATTATTGCACATGGTCCACCTTCAAGTTGAGCAAGAGCAGTGGGTTCATCTTCACTAAATATAAAACCTGAAACCATAAAATAAGTGTGGAGAGATCTCTTATTGTCTGTCTGCCTCTCACTCTCAGGACTCAACTTTATTGACTTCAAACAACCAAAACCCTTTCCAATACATGCACCACTGAGCATTATTTTCCTTAATAAAACAAATATGGCATGATTGCATTTACGAAAATTGTGCCATAAACTCTATCGTTAAAAGCCTATCTGGGCCTCATCATTGGATGAAATCATAACATGGTTATTTACACATAGTTTGGTAATAAAATCCAATGTAAACAAACCTTGTGACCACCGGTCAAAAACGTCTTCTTTTACATTGTTGCCCCATAGCATCTTAGTCAGTCTTTGTAATGTATCACTATCAATTGGTTCTGATTCTGAAAAGGCCGCCATGCTTACAGACAGCTATTTCAAAATGATATTACGGTAATTAAGGACTTAATTTAAAAAAATTTCGAAGAATTTCTTCACAACTTCATTAATAACGCCGCCATGTTGTTTAAATGTAGTAAGGGTTATCCGGAACTAATAACATTACTATTGAATTCCCTATTTATAAATTAGGCCTGGAAGAACAAGACTAAAACTCTCGCGAGATGAATCTCAACTTACGCAACTTACGACCTCATCAGCATCTATATACGAAAAGTGACTCAATTTCTGCATAACAAAATTAGAATTATGTCTTTTTCACCTATTAAGCCATAAATTACACATAGTATATATTCATTTGGATAAAGCTATTTGTTTCTTTGTATTTCGAACTAATCGTCGGAAATCTCGGTTTTCATTTGAAGTAGAGTTGTTTCTGAGAACACTTATAATAAAGCGAAAGATCCGAATGTGTTAAAATCGTCTTCCTTTCATTCAAAGAGAGATGAATGAATGAAGTTTACGTCCTATTTTTCTGAACCGCGAGGGCTAATGAAGACGGGCAAAGCCATGCAGGGTGCAATGAAGAAAATTTTGCCCGGACAGCGGCATTAGTCAGGTTTTTTTTTTTTTAGATTTCTAACTGTCGATGGATGTTAAACATCCACAGTCTGTAGCACACGGGGTCACTAGAAGCTTTATCCATACCAGCCCTGCGTCACTGACAGGGGAAAACGGGGTTGAAAAATCCGAAGGCACTATCTCGACCTATTCCTAGACCTTAAAGTTAGGCTTTCTTTCATGCAGAACAAAAAATATTCAGGGACCTATTGTAGAGTAAATAATGATTTTATACTCGATGAATTAAAAGGAATTGAAAATCTCTTAATGAATCTACTGCTATAATATTAGACCGAAACATCTATCTCTATTCCAGCCTTTGATAGCTATTTGGAGAGATGTCAGTTGGTGTAGAGACAAAAATAATAAGCCCTGTTAAATGGGCGCAATCCGCTTTTCCGCAGGTGCAGGTTTTTTAAAAAACATATTTAGATACCTCGGAACCTCAAGACCCATGTATATTTGGAAAGATGAATACTTTTGTAGTTTAGTCATACCATCATTTTCTCCCTACACCATTTAGGCCTATATCAGGTCTCCGGTTCCAGGTCTCCGGTTTTTTTTTTGGGCGAAACTGATCTAGCCACGGCAATTTAAATTTGCGTGCGCAGCTGAAAACTGTCAAGATATCCATCAGAGGCTGGAGTAGAGGCAGATGTTTTGGACTACTATAAGACACGAATCTTCCAAAAAAATGGGTTCCAGGAAATTTGATTCTAGAAAATTTGTAAATAAACTCATATTAAAGGGACAGATACGCCATTCTTTTTTGACCAATAGTACTTTAGTTTCAGAAACGTGAATATTTTAGCTAAGTCAATCAGTAATAGTGTTAAAATTGACCACTACTTCATAGCATAATATGGCCTACATTAAAAAATAAAGGATCAAGTAATTGTTTAGGCCTATACCTCTACTTTAATCATATGATAATGTGTAATATTTCTTGTATTAACAATGACAAAGCAATGATCTCCTTTCTTTAGTCCTAATGTTTACAGTGTTGCTACATCTGTAACTAATCAACAAATCCTGGGTGGGGAAAATATTACTGACTTTTAAGGCGGAAGAGCAGAGAGGGTTGAATGTGAATTTTTGCCGTAAAATTTATTATATGAGCAGAACAAAGAATACGAAGGGATATTGTAGAGTAAATGAATGATTTTTTTCAGTATGAAATGAAAAGATTTAAATGAAATTAAGGACTGCAGTAACCAGTATTGAGTATTGCCCCGGTCCGCATTAAATACTGCTCGCTACTCTGTTCGGTTTGTTCGGTCTGTAACCTTATGATTGGAAACATACTTTTGATTGTAAATAAATATTTCACACGACCCAATGACCAAGAGGCATGTTATCTTGACGGGTTTAACTTATCTTGAACTTGAAGTAGGGTATTTCATAAGGAGTTTGATCTCAATCAGGAAGATTAACTTTTATACTCATTATTTTATAGAAATAAGTTTATGGCTCAAATGAAATTTTCTAAGCGATTACTGTACCGAGTACGTATAAACAGGCAGTTGGAAAAAGAACACGAGTAGAATAATTCATTGTCTAACATATTAATCAACAGAAGAAGAGTTGTATGGAATAATACTCGCTTATTTTAGATGCATCGACCAACATGCTTTCTTTGTAGACCCTTATACTTCCTTCCAACTTCTCCCTTATAAACAATATTTTATTGTATTCTAAGCTACGCAGTTTATCAGCTTCACTGATTAAGGCTGAACTTTATCATTATCAATGGCTTGAACATCCGGCAATTAAGATAATGTCCAGTGATAATCCTGTTGATTAGGATTCGAAATAAGTGGCTCGGTTTGCTAGGAAGGTTTTGGTGTCATATAAATTTAAACTAAATTTGCCAGGCCTCTGATATCTCTCTTGGAGGAGTCACATGACTTTGTTTATATGTACAATATTTTGATAGAACTTCCTAGTATTGAACAGATCGAGAAAAAATATTGTCTCTCCTTTCACACTTAGCTTCGTAATGACGTATAAAATGAGGTCAAATTTACCGTTACCAACACAGAAATACACCTGGGAGATATTAGGTGTTCGAATGACCACAGGGACTCGATATAAAAATCTAGTGTAGCCTACATAGTTGTCAAATGCTAAGATGGTCATATCGTATTCAAATCACGTCCCTAAATATGTCAAGATAATTATTTAGATACAATCATCACAATTATGTCATGAAGAAACACCTAATTTAAGCAGTCAACGCATCTGGTAGCACAACTCATTTCAACTGACGACAACAGTCAGAGATAGCTGGCTATAAAAAAAATATTCGTGAACCATTTAATATCTTTTTATGACCTTTGAAATATTTACCTAGGTATATTTTTCTTTAAATTGAGTATACATGTATATTTTTTCTTGGATGGGGACCCGTGGACCTGGGTCAACCAATTCTTATGGTATTTGAGCCACTGTTCTTCTTCACGTTGCCACACAATGACTGTATTTCAGAAAAAAAATGGTAAAAATGGTTAACTCCAATACAGTACAATAGAATTATAGTGTTTAATGCTAAATGATTTAGATTTACCAACACCGACGGACAGGAAGGAGAGACCACTCTTATTCAATATTTCCCAATACACGTTGACTGGCGTTCGAGTAAATGAACTCGAGTCCCTGTGTTCGATATCACCTATATCCTTCATTGATATAGATAGACCCTTTCTTAGCCCCTTAATCTAAACAATTACACATTATAATAGCCGGACAAATAATGACGACACAAATAATAGCTTTACTCGGTCTTTTATAGTGTTTTTCTCTCTTGTTCTTGTAAATATATCCATTCAATATGCGTAAATACGAGATTCTCCTTTGAAGGTGTTGTTTGTTGTTAGGAGAAGTGAAAACAGAACTCGGTGGAAGTATTTTGGGAAATTTTTGCGATTTTACTGTGAAGATTCGTTTAGACATTTAATATTTGCGTTGGTTAGATCAACAAAATACACTGTCGTTTAAGATATTAAGTGAAAGTGGTGTTCAAGTTAGATATTCATAGTTATTTAAAGACATTGTAGGGAGGCCATAAATGTAGAGGAATTTACTGTAGAATTTCATTAAAATGGATCAGACTTGAATAAGGTGGAAAAACAATATATTAATACAGACTATAATTTCGCATTGTTCCTGTAACGTCAACAATTTTTGCGCAACGTTTGCAAATTCGAAACTCTTTAAAAATGTCTAGAAAAAATTCCGTAGGAACTTGTGATGGACTTTTTGAAGAAATAAAAACTCCTCAAGTGGATTTTATCGCAGAAATCCCTAATCTAGAGGTAGGAAATATACTCCTTATGCTAATTGTCCATTCATTTGTCCTTTATTTTTTTCATCATATACATTCATTGCTATTACATTCATGTCTGTTCATATTAATCTAAAGCAACTAGTAACTTGTTTACTGACATAAAGAATCTACAAACTACCAATTAATTAATCTGCTCAATGTTGTTTCTATGAATCATTACGTAAGGGTCTGTGTATGGGCCACAGAATTGTCATTGGCGGCTCACAAGTAATTCTTTTCCTATGTATAATGATAAGAAATCTCCTAGCTTATCACCTTTCCAAAAGTCTCGACGAATTTCGGAGTTTTCAAGCTACCTCTCACTACATTCCTGAATAAACATGACCCTGATCGACACAGACAAATAAATATTTTAAAGAGATTTAAGTATGGACCAACTCTGCGATTTACAAAAGAAGTGCGTGCTTCACGTTTAATGTTAAAAGCTCTCTATTCAATTTCCAATACGCCCGATTAACCAGTTCAATAACAATTCTTTATGTACTTAGTATATTATTACATTAAACTGCAAGGTAGTCTACCTTATAATATGTATTATCTATACAGTTCCCAGTTTAATATCTTTTATTTATCATAATGTATATAATGATTATTGAATTACTTGATATTTAATATCCTTATTAGTGTTATCATAATTGAAATCAAGATAACTATGAGTTAGGAATTAAATAACCTGAATTAAAAATCCTTTATAAACGAAAACAAAACATGTATATAAATTCAAATTGATATCGAGTTTTGATATACTTTTAATGTATAAGTATATGTTTTCAATCTATTCTACATTTACAATCTATTTAATATATACGAAACAAACCATCTATTCTACACTTATAATCTGTTATATATATACAAAACTTATCATCTATTCTACACCTATACTCTGTTAAATATATACAAAAATTATCATCTATTCTACACTTATAATCTTTTAAATTTATACAAAACTTATCATCTTTGTATAATACAATTTGTTGAATATATACAAACCATAACATCTATCCTACACTTACATACAAATCTGTTAAATATACAAAACGCAGCATCTATTTTACATTTACATACAATCTGTGAAATATATACAAAAGTCAACATCCATAAACACTTACATACGATCTGTTAAATATATGAAAATTAAAATCTATTCTACATTTACAACAGCTATTCTACGCTTATTATCTATTGAATATTTTCTTAGGTTCTGTTTTAATATGTCTGTCTTATTGCCTTTCAAGGGACGGTTGCGGCATTTTGGAGGGTTGATTTTAGTCTTGTATATATGTAGATAGTCTTCAGAAGTGCTAGAAATATACGAAAATCGCACAATTCCTTTAAAAATACTTCAAACTGGGAATTTTACTCATAATTTCTATACATGTCTTTTTTTGTATATCCTAGAGTATCTTATCTTGACGAGTCGTCATTTTAAAATTGGATTTGAAGGCTCAAATTTCGACTGATTGGCTTGGAATGAACTCTATTTTCCAAGGATAACAACTTAGGATAACAGTTAAAAATCCTTTCTACCAGTTGGTCCTTGGTCAAACCTCTTGGCATATATCTTTCCCGGATTATCCGTACCCATTTACAGCTGGTTCGACTGGACTTATTCAAGGTCATAGGACTATCCAAGGACTATCACACGCCGATCGATGATACCATGCAAATCCGTTTAATTTACCAAGTAAATCCACTCAAAATACCAAGTAAGAATATTTATATACAAAGTAAATAACTTTGATATATTATGAAATATCTTTGATATTTTCAGTATATATAATTTATACACCATGTAAATAATATAATTATCATGTTAATATACTTGTATACCATTTAGAAAGTAATATACCATGTAAATATATTTGATATAAATGATGTATTACTTTATAAATATCTTTAATATACCAAGTAAATAGCATGCACATTATTTTAATTTATTATATAATACAATGTAAATATTTTGAATATATCATGTAAATATGTTCAATATACAATGTAAATATTTTTTAAACATATATGTATATATATATACAATGTAAATATATTCCAATTTAAAATGAAAATATTCAATATTATACCAATTAAATATATTCAATATACCCAGCAAATATCTTTTATTATTAAATATATTAATTATACCATGTAGATATGTTTAATATTTCATGTAAATATATTTGATATTCAATGTAAATATCTTTATTATTAAATATATTCAATATACAATGTAAATATCTTAATAATACCAATTAAATGTATTCAATATACCAAGTAAATATCTTTATTATTGAATATATTCAATATACCATGTATCACAATCATATATTTGTATCGTGTACATATCTTGAATATACCATGTGAATATATTCAATATACCATCTGAATATTTCAAATATAACGTTATACTTAGAAAACGACCTTCGATGCAATGTATCATATAACATTAAATACTAAAAACGTTAAATGTAGTTATTTGGGAAGACTTTTGCAAAAGAAATATCTTGTATGCATTTTGCACATATTTCTAAGTATAAACATATATTTTGATATTTTGAAGAAATGTTATCCTTTGTACGACATTTCACTTCTGGACTTATTTTCAAAAGAATTGCTGAGAACTGTGTGAATAATAAATGCTTTAACCAGTATGGAATTGTATTAACGTGATTTTGACTTTCTCCAAAGATTAGAAAAGGAAAATCAGGTATGCAATCAACATAATTATAATATAATTTAATTCATGGTTCATTGTTTGTAGTTGAACGACAGTCAGTTTTAAATAAATCTTGATGTTTTCTACAGTTTAGGTTAACAAAACTTTAAACCAATGTCGACATTCTTGTGACAAGTTAATCGGGTAATCCGAGATTAAATGAATTAATTATGGATTAACTTGGCTAATCTGTTACAAGTTAAGTTTGTTACACGTTATGTACCTAGTACCAAATTAAACATACTATCTGTAGGGTAACTAATGTTATATTATCTCATTATTTCACACAATTACATTCTAATAATCAATAGCCTTTCACGTGATTGAGATAAAATTTTCATTGGTTGCTAAGGATGAATTTGTTTTTCAACAATGAAGAGTGACTGATATAAGTTCTGGGTTTCATCGATTTGAAAATATTGTGAATGAAACGAGAAAACAGAAATACCGATCGATAAGATTCGGTTCCATTTAACTGAATAGTCTGTTATGAAAGGATATTAGCACTATTACATTGTTTTAATTAGTTTGAATAGTATTGCTTGGAAAAAAGTTTAGGAGTTTAGAGAAAACGGACCTTTCATTGAGGTAAGGTTAGACTGTTGAATTTAGTGGCACAGTTCAGATGTTCTAGGCAATTCGGAACACTAATCATTACTTTGCTGTAAAAACAATGGCTCTGACAAACTTTTTGAAAAAATGGAGAAAATCAACGAATGTGGATGGAGATAATACGCCTTTAATAATAACAAGAATATTAATTTGGGATCGTGATTATATGAACTTGCAATTCATATATATTATTACAATACATATATTGATAGAGATTTACATGTCGGGTATAAACTTAAGCTCAGCGACGTCAGATCTTAAAAGTTCAATTTAATATTTTGCTTTTTCGGGGTTTGTGAGACCATTATACTGATATTAACCGTTTCCTCTCAGTAACAAAGTAAATTCTTTCCCAAATTTCATTGTCGACTTGCATTGGAATTGAAAATATAACTTGGCATCGCCTCTAATGTAAATATTATAATGTGTGCTTTTTCGCTCTCTCAATATTAGTTCATCTTTCTTGTATCAATAACGACATCATTTTACCATTAGTTAGAATAGTATTTAATATCATTGATATTGACCAAGTACTATGTATACAATCCTATAGTGATTTGGATTTGACTTCAAACTTAGAAAGGACGTGACCCCCCAGGTTTTTCGACTACACCCCTCCTCATGCTAGAATTCTTGATATAAATAGCAAGACACGGAAAGGAATTAATCAAAATTTGGTCGTCAACAACACAGTTTTTAATTTTGATATTAAGACATTAAGACCTCCTCCCCAACCTCGGGTATACCCACCAAGCCAACAAAACATTAGATCTGATTCATGAAGTCGTGATGACATACACTGCTCAGTAAACCTATTAAAATTGTTTTTTTAAGGTGTAACAAAACAAAACTGCAATTTTTTTGCTTTGTATGAAATATCACGGGATATTTGCTCAATTTCTTCAGAACTCGAACTCATAGTAAAATCAATTGAAAACAATAGATCACAATAATGTCCCGGCTTTAAGACATACTGCTTTATGTTTTTTTTAATCTGCTTTGAATCGATGAAAGTCAACATCAAACCTGCTTCCGTATAGTTATAATTCTGGATACCCCATTTCAAGATGTTTTTTTTATCCTTACTCTCAACCGGAAGTTAACAGGTGATCACATATTATGGAACCATTTGCTAATACATACATATTTATTCATTGATGATCTATTGAACACACTACCTGTGTGTTCATTTTAAATGCAGGGCCTATAACATTATGATCATTCATTCCTTCATTCATTCATTTTTTTGCGCTTTTACACTTCGTAATATTTATCAAAAGAAAGTCTAAGTACGATCTTTTCATTAAGATTTACAAATTTTTCAATTAGTGAACATATTAAAACGACTGAATGAGTGATTGGTTGGTAAATAAGATATTTCTAGTTGAATTGGTATCGATCTCGACCCAGACAAAATCAATATATTATTTAGAAAGGTGAATAAACACTATTGAACAGTTTTATAAATATAATAGCTGTCCAGTTAAAGAATACTGTTTTCGTTCAGCTGACAATCTTTTAAAACATACAAAAACATGACTATACCTGAAAGTAGAATTTCATAGTGGCAGAGCTTGATTTTCGTTTTAGAGAGATTGTAAAGAGGATTTCTTAATATTTATGTGTATCAGGGACACTGATATCATCAATTTGCACTATTTCAATTATCAACCAGACGCCCGTGATTCTTGCAACCAGGTGTTTGATGACGTCGCGATGGGCCTTTTTTGATAAATCATATTTTCCGATTAGTTACGTTAGCAAACACATTTTTTTTGTGGAATTGCAGGAACCATACACGCCTGTCTGAAAATTGGAATGGTGCAAATTGATCCCATTTTCAATTCCTTTAACGTAATAAGTACACTTAGCTTTTAATCGTATGGGAGCTTTGTGTCTATTCAAATATTTGTATGGGCAACTTATTAAATTTTACCGAAATTTGCAGCAAAATCAATAAGTAAATAAGGCCCAACAAATTATTGTCTGCGTTTTTCTTATAGACAGAGGAAGTACCCAGTAGAGGCAGACGAAGAAGTAGTGTCATGTCCTCAACAAGTAGTTTAAATGCAGAAAGTAAATCCGGGTGGAAATCATTGGTTGACGCCACAGACGAGGTAAATATTCCTGAATTCAGAACTTTTACATCAACCAAAAAGTTTCGTTTTAGTACAGTCATGCTCTGTTTTAACATAAAGCTGCGTGCATGGACGGTCTGAAACAAGTTGGTCATATGGCCTCCATTGTATAGGCTTAACATAAAATTCCGTACCATTGGAGGTCACTGGACTCACTACTCTGTTCCTTCTAAAAGAAAAAAATAAACCAGATCACTTAATTGTCAAAGCCGATTTTATTTGGATAGATAGTCACCAAAGTATCGATGATACAAAGTGAAAGGAAACATCCACTTTTCCTGGTGTAATATTTGTTAACAATGCTATGTCTGTATTTACAGTTTGGTAAAGATTCTAAAAAGCTATATAAATTTATCAAACGACGATTGAGTAGCAAGAAGAAGAAGCGAGAAACAGAAGTGAAAGCTATCAGTATTGTTCCAGACGAGGAAGAGAATATGAAATGGGCAAACCGACCATCAACGCGGTCACCACCATGTAGTGCTCACAGTCGTACGAGTACAGGAACGGGGACATCCAGCGTAGGAAGTAAAGATGACGACGGAATTGAAACAGTTCATGATATGGATGATGAATATAATGTTTTTCATGGTTGTTAACACCGAAAACCTTACTGCAGATCTTTATGGTGCTAACTGGTAGCCTGTAAGTTACTATCACTATCTCTTAAAGGAACCAAACCCATTTCAAAGTGGTACAAAAGGACTATTCAAAAGATTAACACATATTATCTTTACTTTGTATTTTTATCGCATGCTCAGAATGTCTGCTAGACTTATCTTGTAGAAACAATAAAATTAATTAGAGAAAAACCGTCTCGTAAGCTTTGCTTTCCGACACTCGTCTATTTATTGACGAATTCCTTTCCCTTGGTCTGTATTCGGTTTCTAGCAGTCTGTGCATACTCCTTCGGGCATCTTTTATTTGTTGTTTACAAACAATTTGATACTCCGCTTTCATCAATTTAATCTTTGAAATCGGTTGTATTAATATGGTTTTCTAAACATTCTGTCTGTTTTATTTTTCAGTTTGTCAAGCAAGACAAAGTCAGTGACATAATTTATTATCTTAGTCCCAACTCCACGTTTTAACTTGGAATTGTAAACCTAGTATTAACTGTACATTTAAAGTGTGTGTGATAGATAAAACTTAAAGTGCAAATTGCTGAGTGCATTGGACACTAATATTTTAAATAAATTCATTAAAATGGACCGCAGTGGAAAGCCCCGCAACTATGAAATACATTCTGTCTGAATAAACCAAATAATATATTCTGTTCTGAGAGCCTACCTTTGCATTACTTATTGAGTTGTTTGTTGGTAGATTCTATCTGATGAAAGAAGATTAGATTCGGGGAGTTGATGCATTTCACCTTCCGGTTTCAACTTGATTGAATGACGAATGTGCATTGAGAATATAAATCAGACGAGAATTTGTAATTATATTTCTATACTACTGTACTTAGCATCAACAATAACCAGTATGATGTTCATCGAATTAAAAAATACAGCCCTGTTTCATATTTTTAATATGGATACAATCGCTAATCAATACGTTTTACAGGCACCTTGATACTTCTATCAACAAGTAATCCAATATGATGATCATGGCCTGGATATTATAGCTCGTATAAAAGCTGATAGAGTTGACTTGACCACTAACGCGATTAAAGTTTTACAATTAATCCAATAATTTGGATGTATTTTTGTAAAGGATGTTGGACTCACTATTTGTTCTATTCTATCGTATTTTCTTATATATATATATATCTTTTGTTGACTTGAGAATTGTGCATTTATTTTGAAGTGTGTTTTCAAGAGAATATTTATATTTGTACAACTTTAAGAACATAAGGTACTGTTAAGACAAAAACTTGTTTTGCGTAGTATTATCGCCGAAACACCATTATAGGTTGGTAACTCTGCTGGAGAACAAACTTGCCCTCGAGGTCATTTTTCAACATACATGCTTCAAACAGTCAAATTTGAATTTGAGCTTTTCTACAATATTACCCTTGGCGGAATCGGGTTTGTAAACTGGACTTCCCTTTTGGAGAGTCTACATATTTTGTAATGTGTGTATATTATATTTATTATTTTGTATCTGTTACATACTAGACGAGTTTAGATTGGTAGAAATTGACAATGGAATAAATGATTTGGTCTGAGTTCCTTTTGTTCTTCCAACCCGGTTTCCTCGTATAAGATTTGAACGACATATAGAAGCGAGGAGCACATATAACAAAAACACATGACAATATTATGGAATATAACACACTTCTTTAATAAGGTTGGTCACACATTCTCTTGCCACTACATCTGATGACGACACGTGTATATTGTGTTGAAACGTTATGTGCCCAACCTTATTAAAGAAGTGTGTTATATTCCATATTATTGTCTTGTGTCTTTGTTATACGGTTTCCTCGTGTCGTTCAGATGGGACAATAACCGAGGTGCTATAGGCTGTACACGTTGAAGATCTCGCGACAGTTGAAAATTGAAAACGAGAAGGCTAATGCCTCTGACCTGGCCAAATTTCCCTCATTGCAAACTGCAAACTTCATTAGCCCAATTAGGTGCAGAAGAGTAGGACGTCAAACTCGGTTCATTTCATTTTCATCTGTTCTCTTATAAATATTGAAATTTGAAATTTATTGTGTTATGGTGGATTTATGCTATCAACACAATGTAAGGGATACAGTCACTTTTAAATTCAACAACAGGTAACATCAGTCCATGGCTCCATGAGTAAGACTGTTAATCTATTACCTCGGGTTAACTCAGACAAATTAGAGACCAACATCAAATTTTCCCCTATTAAATAATCAGGTTTTGAAATAGTTCATCGAGAATTATTTGATGTCATAAATGTGCCATTTTTGTGTCATACTTAAGCTGTAGAGATCTTCATTGAAGAGGTGTTGTTATGAAGAGTGGGGAAGATGTACAAACTATACTCATTGTTGATAACACTACCATATTGTATGGTATATAGGAATTTGTAACGTGTAATTTGAAGTTACATACATAATATATTTCATTTTAGTATTTATTTATACAATAATTAATTGTCTGTCCTGTAATAAACCTATTGTATTTGTTAAGGAGAAAAAATTTGAGAATAAATCTGGTAAAAGTTAAAATCAAATAATGTTCATAAAACAAAGGTTATTCTCTCTATTGACATCAATATCCCGAACAAGAATGGTTTTTAACCGTTAAATAAAATTGATATATCTGTGAACAAAAGGAGAAAGAATTCAGCAATTCTTATTATTTTGACACCGGCGTATATCCCCAGCCTCGTGTAAAATAGTTTTACTTTTAATTTCTGACAGCAAATCGTTATTTATTACTACGGAAGCGTATTAGGGCCATTCATTTTTTTAATTTTCAAGTTAGTATGTTAGTAGTTAGATACAAACTTGAAAATTCAAGATACAAACTTGAAAATTCAAGTTACTAACTTGAAAATTCAAGTTGCTAACTTGAATATTCAACATACAAACTTGAAAATTCAAGTTACTAAATTCAAGATACTAACTTGAAAATTCAAGATACTAACTTGAAAATTCAACATACTAGCTTGAAAATTCAACATACTAACTTGAAAATTCAACATACTAACTTGAAAATTCAATTTACAAAATTCAACATACTAACTTGAAAATTCAACATACTTACTTGAAAATTCAACATACTAACTTGAAAATTCAATTTACAAAATTCAACATACTAACTTGAAAATTCAACATACTTACTTGAAAATTCAACATACTAACTTGAAAATTCAACATACTAACTTGAATATTCAACATACTAACTTGAAAATTCAACATACTAACTTGAAAATTCAACATACTAACTTGAAAATTCAACATACTAACTTGAAAATTCAACATACTTACTTGAAAATTCAACATACTAACTTGAAAATTCAACATACTAACTTGAATATTCAACATACTAGCTTGAAAATTCAAGATACTAACTTGAATGTATTGAGTTATTCCTAACCCCCTTTGTTTTATTATTGAAAATTGACAGCAGAATACATTCGCCTTTTAGTGTAGGTCACAATTATGAATACTAACCACCCAATATACCCAACAAGTGAACGCCATTAGTTGACAAGAACATTGAACCTAATTTTCACTTTTATGCTCTTTCCTCAATAATCGTAGGATATCGACGTGTCCAAATATAATAAACATTACAACCACAAGATTGTTTTTGTGAAAATTTCCATCAGTTTAATAATCAATATTTGAAAACAGTGTTAATGATAATCAATATCTATGTACTTTCCCGTGGGAGACATTAACCTCATTATTATCAATTATTTAACATATATCATGGGATGATAAAACTCGCGTTTCTACATTATTTTTAAATGACTGTGTGGGCGATAAATGTCTATTATGGAAACCCAGTTCTCTCATAAACTCAACTAGCCATGACATACAGGGCAGGACAGGTGTTCCATTGCAGGGGGTTGATTTTAGTCTTGAAAATATGTAAATAGTCTTCAATACTAGAAATGTACAAAAAATTGCACAAGTCCTTCAAAAATATTGCTATATATGTCTTTTCTATATATCACAAAGTATCTCACATCCCAACGCGGATAATCCTGGACACACATGGATTTGAAAGCTCAAATTTCTACAGTGAGCTGTGAACACTATTACTGATAACCCTAACACTGATTGGCTTAGCTAAAATATTCACGTTTCTGAAACTAAAGTATTATTGGTCAAAAAAGAATAGCCCATCTGTCCCTTTAAACATTGGCTTCAGGACTTCATTAGGTAGCGTCTTGATCCATAGATTTCTTAGCCTTTATGATTTCTGCACACTTTTCATTATCCAATGAGCAAAGAAAAAAACAATTCAATGCAAATGCACTTATGACGTACATAAAAGTTAAATATGTGGTCAACTCGTGCCTACAACTGGTAATTTTATATCCAACTGCTCTGTTTCTGTATGAGATTTGGAATTTTGTGTACATTTTAAGAACTTTTCTTTTGGTTACAAATTTGTCTTGTGCTTAGGTATTAAGCATGACGTATGTTTCAATATCTTAACAAATAGAAACTACCATTCTATAAGCCTGGTAATATATAGAGCAATTGGTCATAAAACTACCATTCTATAAGCCTGGTAAGGTAAAGAGCAGTTGGTCATAAATCCACCGTCCTATAAGCCTGGTAATCTATAGCATAGTTGGACATAACACTTCCATTCTATAAATCTAGTAATCTATGGAACAGTTGGGCAAAAAAATTACCATTCTATTAAGCTGGTAAGATATAGAGCAGTTGGACAAAAAACTACCATTCTATAAGCCTGGTAAGATATAGAGCAGTTGGACATAAAACTACCATTCTATAAGCCTGGTAATATATAGAGCAGTTGGACATAAAATTGCCATTCTATAAGCCTGGTAATATATAGAGCAGTTGGACATAAAACTACCATTCTATAAAATTACCGTTCTATAAGCCTGGTAATATATAGAGCAGTTGGACATAAAACTGCCATTCTATAAAATCACCGTTCTATAAGCCTGGTAAGATATAAAGCAGTTGGATATAAAACTACCATTCTATAAGCCTGGTAAGATATAGAACAGTCGGGCATAAAACTCCCATTCTATAAACCTGGTAAGATATAGAGCAGTTGGTCATAAAACTGTCATTCTATAAAACTACCATTCTATAAGCCTGGTAAGATATAGAACAGTCGGGCAAAAAACTACCGTTCTATAAAACTACCATTCTATAAGCCTGGTAAGATATAGAACAGTCGGGCATAAAACTACCATTCTATAAAACTACCATTCTATAAGCCTGGTAAGATATAGAACAGTCGGACATAAAACTACCATTCCATTAGCCTGGTAAGATATAGAGCAGTTGGACATAAAACTACCATTCTATAAAACTACCATTCTATAAACCTGGTAAGATATAGAGCAGTTGGACATAAAACTACCATTCCATTAGCCTGGTAAGATATAGAACAGTCGGACATAAAACTACCATTCTATAAGCCTGGTAAGATATAGAACAGTCGGGCAAAAAACTACCGTTCTATAAAACTACCATTCTATAAGCCTGGTAAGATATAGAACAGTCGGACATAAAACTACCATTCCATAAGACTGGTAAGATATAGAACAGTCGGACATAAAACTACCATTCTATAAGCCTGGTAAGATATAGAGCAGTTGGACATAAAACTACCATTCCATAAGACTGGTAAGATATAGAACAGTCGGACATAAAACTACCATTCTATAAACCTGGTCAGATATAGAGCAGTTGGACATAAAACTGCCATTCTATAAAACTACCATTCTATAAACCTGGTAAGATATAGAACAGTCGGACATAAATAACCACTTTTATAAGTCGAGTAAGATATAGAGCAGTTGGATATAAAGCCACCATTCAAAAAGCTCGGTAAGATATACAGTTAGTAGTAAGGCTTTAATGCAGGTTCGCCAGGAAACAAAATCACATGTAACGGAGTTTTATGTCTTATTTCTAGGCGGTGGTTTTAGCCTAACCTTTGACTTTCCTAACGGTCGATATATTTAACACAGCCTGTAGCACACAGGATTACTGCCCCATCTAAATGACTAGGCACCTCTTTCATGTCAGTCCCTCCGACCTAAGAGGAAACCAGTTTTGTAAGATATAGGAGCAGGAATATCTGCATATGAAGATTAAATAAAAAGAAATATCAATATAATGAAATATTTAATTAAAAAAGACAGTTAATATGTAAAGATGAGTATAAAGCACCTTGCTGTTTAATAGAATATATAAAATTACCATTTTATAGACTGGTAGTCTACAGCATTGCTTTGATAAATATAATCATTATAATTTTCACTTAAATAACTATAATCATTATAATATTTACTTAAATAACTATAATCATTATAATTTTTACTTAAATAACTATAATCATTATAATTTCCACTTAAATAACTATAATCATTATAATATTTACTTAAATAACTATAATCATTATAATTTTTACTTAAATAACTATAATCATTATAATTTTTAATTTAATAACTATAATCATTATAATTATTAATTTAATAACTATAATCATTATAATTATTAATTTAATAACTATAATCATTATAATTTTTACTCAAATAACTATAATCATTAAAATTTTTACCTTAATAACTATAATCATTATAATATTTACTTTAATAACTATAATCATTTCAATATTTACTTTAATAACTATAATCATTTCAATATTTACTTTAATAACTATAATCATTATAATTTTTACTTTAAAATTTATCTTACCACTGATGCTATCAATCAATAGAATTTTAAGTTATTTCAGGCTTTTAAAAACTAAATATTTCTGATTTCACAGAAATCACAGTGTGTGTAAGTAATGTTATTTTTGGTTTAATTCAGCCTAAATTGAATTTAAGAAATAAGCCCAAAATTCTGCTTGATGTAGAAATACAAAATCTAATACATAATATCAATGATAGGTTATCATGGTAGCATTTTTCTCAATTTAATTTGTATCATTAAATATTATTAAGAAAAAAAATTATCTTTGTGAAGAGAGTAAAGACAAATATCAAAAGCAACATCTTAAGATATTACTTACAGTTAAATTTAGGTTTTAAACAGCTTGAATCATGTTAATATCAAGTCAAAAGAGGAGCGTTATATTTCTGTCAATTTGATTGGTTACAATACGATTAGTGAAAACTGCTCACATGTAAACCAACACTAAACAGAATTAATTTCTAACATTGAGACAAAATTATCAATTCAGTTTCCGAACTTGAAATAACTACATCTCTTGTTGATATAATAGGTTAAAGAAAGTTGCACATTTAGGGATACTTTTCATCATATTGTTCATAACCAACGTCAATGTAGAACTATCTTTGGCCCAGAATACAAATATCATAATATATGTGATTTTTTATTTGATGTTCTTATAATATAAAATATAAAGTAAAATAAATTGAATGTTTGTAACATATTTATATAATTATATATTTTATACCCAATTTCAGTTATGATGATTCATTAAGATCTTACAAAGTTTATAATCAAAATTCTATTGCTCATAGTTTGCAAAAGATTGAGTACAGATTTGGTTGCATAATTTACATGAGTTGCTTTTATTCAAACTGCATAGAAACTCTAAAGTCTGGAACTGTAAAAAACGGTTATTAGTCTAGAATCTTTAAAACATTAAAATATAAATAAATTACAAATTTCTATAAGCATTTTACAGCACATTCTTAACACGTTTTTCTTATAAAATATCAAAATGTATCAAAATATCCCTGATTGGTTTTTGCCATTTGAAATATTTTGGTCATGGTAGCTATGATATCCATGTAACTGCCTATATTTCGATGTTCTTGAAACATGATGTTTATTAAATAATATGAGTAAGTACATCAAATGAGTTCAAAGATCAATATGTTTTTTCCATTTCATTTCCAAGTAAAGAAATTTCTGTATTCTCAGAAAATTCAGAATGATTTTCGTTTACATTCCAAGTTATATTCTATCTTGCTCTGTGAAGATATTAGCACCATAATTCATCCTGCTCACAGATATCAGAGTTAAAAATCACCTTAAATCATTCATTTCAAAATCAGCAGATAATTGATGGAAGAAAATAAATAATTTATAAATAAATAATAAAATTGAGACTAAAGGAATAGATAAAACATCATAAAAACTGTATAAAATTTTATACAATATACAACTACTGATAGGCTACTGGTTACATTTTTAACACCAGGGCCAATGCTTACTTTTATAATATTGATTATACATTTTCTGAACCAGTCTTAATTAATTATATAAATATATGCAATATAAATAACTTAAATCATATGAAATCTTAATGTATTGGATAAAGAGATGTTTTAAATTAACATCTCTTGAATTTTCACCCCATTTGGGTTTATCAATGTTGTCTATAATATTTGTTGTTATATAGCTTGTTTCTGAAACAACATGAAGTCAAGTATATGTATACAAATCAATATTTACAATAATTTGTCTGAAACCTCTCTCCACAATAAATTAATATACTAATAATTATAATATACAATACAATATATTAATTACATATTTACTTCTCTTACTATATCTTTAAATTCATTATTAAAGGCTAAAACAAATATGTTCACGACTTATCTTCTATTAAAAAGTGGCTTGAATGAAGATTGTTTCAATTCTAATCATGAGTTGGGCTTTAATTCTTTCATCAATACAACGTTACAAATGTTCAGAGCACTATCATATCGATTGAGGTTTTCAATCCAATTATAGTCAATCCAATTATGTGTAATATACCTATGAACTTGATATGTCCAAACAAGAAAATATTTGATAATCTTAGATTTAAAAGTAGAAAGCACTAAAACTGTAACAGAAGAGTCAATTATCTATTTCAAGGAAATACATATACATCACTTTCTACTGGCTCATCCACGGCGAAAAATCTTGCCCATTCTAGAATAAGACCAAAATCTGATAGTTCAGTTAGAGCCATCACTTTGAATTGACTTAAGCCTGTCAGAATGAGGGCATCAGAGTTTTGAACTCTTGCTCTTCACTATGGTCAACTCAGAATAGAAAGCATATAAAATTCAGTGCATCAGGAAGTGTTAGCAATCATTCATAACATAGTTAAATCATTCACACTCTGATCAGAAGAAGAAAAACTTTCACAACAAGAGTCACTCAGTGACAGATTTCCAGCACAAATTTCTGGAGCATCTGAAGATGTATTTAAAGATTCATTCAGTTTTTTGGAGACACACAAGACTTCATGATTGACAGCAGACTTTCCTGGTGTTGAAGACGCAGAACGAGGTTGAGGACGTGATTTTTCAATTTTTCGTCTACGTCGAATCTTATCCCCTCTTCTTGACCGAGATGGATAATTATCAACTATGTAGACTTCAGCTGATTGAAGTTGTCTGTCTGTTTCAGGGTTATACAGTCTTTGTTCTGACCCTGATTCTGAGGTGGATGTAGAAATATCTTCCAGGAAGTTAAATGCTGCTACAGCTTCTTTCTCTGGTTGGTCGAAACGTATGAAGAATTTTGAGAAATCTAAAGGTTGTCTTGGTAATGCATTACTTTTCATAGCTTCATGACGTGCTGTAAAATAAATTGTTTATATACAATATCAACTAAAGGGATCATACGAAAAAATGCCGGTTCAGAGCAGAATTTGTTTATCAAACAGAGTTACATCCCTTTATGGCTTATGGTCAAATCTTGTTCTGATAAAAGTGTAAGTAAATGTTTTTTCAGTTAAAGGATGGATTTCTAACTGAAGTTACCTACCTTTCCGACCTCCAACCAAACGTTGGCACATCATAGAATCTAGTCCAATATCAGTGGCTAAACTATCATTACTCTCAGTTCCAGATACAAACATTGAATCTAGTAGATTAGCACGGTGCTGCAAATAAAGAACACATACTATAAAGTAAGGAATATATGTACTTTATAGTTTGAAATTTGGACAAAAAAATAAAAGCTTTATAGCCCTCTGTAGAGGAAACCTAGTTCCCTCTAAAAATCTATTGTAAAATACAAGTGGACTGTGAAAAATGTAAATGTTTACCTCTGGATCTGCAAGCTGATTGGTGCTACTACTTTTCGCTCTGACAGCATCATTTTGCTCAAAACTGTCATCATGGACACCTACTTCATCACTATAGTTACCATTATAAACGTAACCGGACACACGTGTACAGTTTTCACCATTGACTTGGATTTCATAGTATTCCTCATTGATTTCAGCACTTTCATTGGCATCTCTCTCAACTTCCAGTCCCTTGATCCACTCAGCACAGTTGTTCTGATCTAATAAAGAATCACTACCAATAATTACCTCCCCTCCACAGGAAGTGAGGTAATAGTCATCTTCTTCCCAGTGGTAACCGTCCATAGAGTTTCGCTTAGAATCGTCAATGGATTTGGCAAGATGGCAGTCCATGAGACTATCGCGAGATTCAGAATCAGCACTATTCAAGCTTGTTAGGCTTTGGTGAAGATCATTTACTGTTTTGGACAGGGACTGTATTTGACGAGTAATTTCATCAAATTCCCGATCTTTAACACTTGGAGCTACAGAGTCCTTAAATGAGTCCTTTGCAACCAGTTTATGAATATCAGAACCCTGACTACTGCTAGAAACTAGGCTACGATTTGACTCCACTAAACACAAGCTGTAAAATTCACTGTGAAATTTCTTCTGGTCTAGTGATGGTGACTGAGAACCATCTTCACTATTTCCTTCCTCACTGACTAAAGAGTTCCTTTCGCTTCCACTTGACGGAGACAAATTCAAAACTTTGACTCCACTGACGTTAGTTTCCTTCTCAGGAGAAGAATGTGTGTCAATGACTGTTGAAGTGTCTGAGGAACTGGCGAAATGAGATAAATCAGAATAAGCCATATAAGGATTCTGATTTTCTTGTGAGTTATTCAATGAGGAAGAATTGAAGGTGGCAGAAGTGGTTGTCAAGTGACTTTCAATTTCTTCTTTTGAAAATTTCAATAACCAATCTTCTGCTGGTGATGAATCGAAACTTTTTATAGAAACTGGTGATGGTGTGGAGCTCTGAAAAAAACAATCACATTAATCAATCAATCAACCCAAGTTTAAAATGGATAATAAGATGGCCATGATGACATAATATTCTTGACCATCACTCACTAGTAAGAAAAATAAGGTGCATGATTTTATCTGTTAAGAAGAAAAAGAAGCTAGAAACCAAAAATATGTCATCTTTGTTCATCATTGATATTCTGTGAAAGATGACTGCCATGAGAAATGGTTGTTCTCCATGAATAAAATAACTTGTTCTTTCTTTAACAGAAGTTTTTAGTCAAAGAACTCACCTTTTTCAGAGCTTCCAGTGTTTCTCGTGGCTGCCATATTGGTAGACGATAGTTAGATGTTTTCTTGGCCCACTCTTTATTTATCTTTAGAGCAGCTTCTAAATCTCCATCACTGTCACTATCCGTAGTTGAGGATGTTGTTGAGGAAGTCATAGACATCTGGAATGATATACAAATTAACACAAATAAGACACACCCCAAAACAACCCCAAACCCTGCAGTGTTAAATGACAAAAAGTACATATTTAAACCATTTACACTTAAATTTTCAAATTTTACTTTATTTGATCAAAGAATAATCATGGTTGTCTCTTACATAAGGTGGCATAAAAAAAACCCCAGTTGACAAGCTCATCTGCAGAACAAGATTATGTTCTAGTTACCTTTGACATGAGAAACAGCTTGAAAAAATTCTTCACTTTTTCAGCAATGGCTGCCTCGTCGATTTCTAAATTTTCTTTTAAAAGGAGACAGACAGAAGGTTTGATGTATCGATTGGTGGAATCGATCATATCCATTTCTGTGATAGATGTGGAGCGTTCAAATATTCTCTCATCACTCCACTGACCATCTGTGAAATCGTCAAAAAGAGTTGCTGGCCTAGATTTATGCTTTGCGTGTATATCTGAGTCTGAAAGAGCACGGGCTATTCTTGGACTAGATTTGGTGCGTGATGATTTGGGTCTGTGAGGAGGTGGTGTTGGTGGGGAATCAGGAGGAAAGCGTGAAATAAATGTTGATGGTTGTTTAGTTTCTAGTTCACGATCTTCTGGTATATCTTCTAAAACTTGATCTTCTCCTAGTGGTAGAGTAATTGTCTGAAATAAACAAGAATCATGACAAAATAACTACAATTTCACTTCAATTAAAATGCAAAATCTTTATGAGTGATTCCATTCATCAGTAATTTTTATATACTATTTCAAAACAAAAGATTGAAAGAGTGAATTAATTCACCTTGAAGATACAGTAAATTAGAAACATAGGCATGCGGCAAGTCTCGCAAGCGAATACGCCCACCAGCAGCTTGATAAAGAGCTAAATGTGAACTGTAAAACAAACTCTATATCGTAGCCTGTAGAGTGAGCACAGGCCAAAAAAGTGAAAAAATACGATATCAGAGTTTTATGCAATATCTCTCAAGAAAATCATTGGATCATCACCAAATTCAACAGTGCACATCTTCATAATGATATTAACAAACATAGAAAAGAATCAATAGAGAATTGTAGTCTGTAGAGTGAGAACGAGCCAAAAAAGTGAAGAAGAAAAAACGAACGGGATATCAGAGTTTTATGCGATATCTCTAAAGAAAATCATCGCATCATTACCAAATTCACCAGTGCACATCTTCATAATGATATTAACACTTACAAAAGATCAAAAGAATCAATAGAGAATTGTAGCCTGTAGAGTGAGCACGAGGTAAATGTGAACGGACAGACGGACCGACGGACCGACCGACGGACCGACAGGGGCAACCACAATATACTTACGTGTGATAAATAATAAAACTTGACATCAAATACCATCCTTTTAATACCCAACGTTTGCGTCAAAAAAGTTTTAACTTCATCAGGGGAAGAAACAAACTACAAATGGTGGAAGGCTGTGTGGGAGTATAAAAAATTTATAGGCCAATATTTTGAGTACAGTTTAAAACTCAAAATCTCACCTGATTTTCATTATAGCCATAAGATCTATTTGTAGATGAGGTCTTCACTTCATTAAAACTATGATAATTCCAGGATGTCTTTACAGCCAAATCTGGCAACTCTGCTTCTTTTTCAGTTGCCAGATTTTCCAAACTTTTACTTTCTGTTTGAAAAAATTGTAATTTTGGTCCGAGAGATGATTTTATCACAGGTATTGCTGATTTTTTAGCACTTTTTATTGTTTGTGTGTCTTGTTCAAATACTTTTCTCATATCCCGCACTTTATTTCCCGGACTGAGAAGAATTTCACCACTAGATGTTGACACTTGAGACGAAAGACTATGAGTAGAATTTTGAAGTTCTGCACTATGGGTAGAATTTTCCATGGCAGAATCCAGATCAGAATTTAAATCCTGACAACCCTCCACATTTTTAGCTTCCGATTTTTTAACTGAGGTGGCATCACTGAATTTTTCCATAGCTTCTGGTTGAATATCACTGGACATTGTGGAGTAGCCATCGTCACGACTACCAGACCTTTCCACGCGGATGCTCTCTAAATTTGTCTCCGGTGTGGGCCACTTTGGACCAAATCCAATATCAAGCACAGGAAAATTATTTGGTTCAACAAATACTGAATTCACTACCGAGTTAACAATCGGATTCACAATTCCTTGGATTTTTTTCCCTGGAGATTTTGATGCAGCACTTTTGGCTTCAGTTTGTTTTTTAGGGTCCACACTTTTTACATTTGCAGTTTTGGGTTTAGAAGAAGTAACATTGGTCCGCACAGGTTTTTTCGGAACAGGAGGTGGGGACTTTTTGGGACTGCGAGGAGTTGGTACAATTGTTGCTACTTTACTTTTATTAGGAGACTCAACAACTGAACGTTTCTTTGGTTCTGTTGGTTTTTTAACTTGAATCTCAACATAATGTTTAGGTTTTGGAATACAACGACTATCCTTTGGTGAAGATTTTTTAACAGGGGAGGTGGGTTGAGAAATAGGAGATTTGTCAGATAAAGAGTGCAGACTAGAAGTTGAGATCGTTTTTCCCTCTGAACTAGTACTACTAAGGCTATTTAACATAAAATTTTTCTCTCTTGGAGCCAGAATTAAGTTTTCAGGACGATTCACTTTCGGACTTGCTCCATTGGTGTATCCATACGCAGACAAAACTTGTTCACTACCCTGAGGTCCAGAATTAGTTATCGATTGTGACACAGAGTTTTGTACATTTTGTGATTGATTTGAAACGAGATCAGATGAATTTGAGGTGATTGTGGTTCGTGAAGACGTGGTTACCACTAGCGACGTGGTTGTTTGCAATGTGTCTGAGGTAATACTGTTTTTTTGTGACACTTTTTCTGCACCTAAGTTAATACTGCCGTTTTTTAAAGGCGGGGGTGGGAACATAAAATTTTGCATAGTTTTCATGGCACTTAAATCCGTCGGCAACGGTTTTGGAGACATTGATTTGGGAGACCAATCAGAATAAAAATCTTCGTCTGTTGGAAGTTCAGCATCCTCTAAACTACTGTCAAGCAATTCGTTAAGAGATACAGTGGAAGACGAACTCACTTCCTTCAAGGTCATTGGTCGACAGTCACTATCCTCATCACTGTAATCATAGAAATATTGACTTCGAAACGATTGTTTTGGTTTGGGAGAGTTTGAGTTTGATCGTATAGGATTCAAATGAGAGGATGCTGGGATTGAAGAAACAGGAATCTGACTTCCTGTTTGTTTCGGCATCGGTGATGGCACATTTTTATCTGATGATTTTTCGTGAGGCACATGACCCCCTGTAGCACCTTGTGACATGTTTCTTGAATTTCTAGGAGACATACTTTGTGAGTTTCGAGGAGATTTATTGGATGTTTTCCCTTTTCGTTGTGGTTTTGGAGGTGTACGACCCCATGACCCGTAACTTCTATCATGAACGTTGATATGCTTAATTTTTGGACTGGAGTTTGTGGCGGGAAATTCTGTCTCTATTTTGGTATGAAGATCTCCATCAGAGTTGTAAACACCATTTCTTAGTTTCTCTTCTAACTTGTCACGTAGCCAGGGTGGTGGGGAACTCATCTGAGGTTGACCAAAACTTTCATCAAAACTCTGAAAATAATTCATTCAGTTTCACAAATTGAAACAAAGTTAAGAAACTTTGCCTCTCAAGTTGTTTAGGATTAGATAAATGGAGTTATCATGTGCAATGGAAAGTGGAATGAAGTGAAATTAAACAAAACATTGTGTGTCTAAAAACAACAACATTGCTGCAAAGTTATCACAACAGAAATCATCATATATATCATTGATCGAAGAAGTAAAATTACAAACAATAAAAATAGCATACACGAACAAAGATTCATTTAAACCAAATTTAAAAATTTAAGTTTTTTATATACCTTTAAAGAGATTGTAAAGAGGTTTTCTAAATTTTTCATGAGTATCGGGGACACTGATAGCATCAATTTGCAAAGTTCCACTTTTCAATCGGACGTCTGTGGTTCCTGTAATTCCACTAAAACTAATATGACGTCACCCCTGCGGAATTTGCTTGTATCAAGACCTTTGTAGGGGTCATAAAACACTTAGTTTTAATAGAATTCATAGAACCAAAGACGTCGCAATGAAAATTGGAATGGTTCAAATAGATAATATCATTTGACTCCTATACACATACAAAATTTAGAAAATCTCTTTACAATCCCTTTAAGAAGTAAAATTACAAACAATAAAAATAGCATACATAATCACTATTCATGCTTTGTAATGAACCAGATGACAAATAGTTCTCATGATTTATCTCCCTTTCATAGGTCATGTGACATGATTGGTAATGGAGATTAGATGAATGTGCAGCAATCTAAGTTTGAAAATAAAAGTGATAAACAATTAAATAAACAAAAAAATTTAATCTAAAACATATGGTAAAAAAAGAACTGAAATGTGTTCAAAAAAAAATTATTTGGTGCTGTTTTCAAGCTCAATCCATTATATTTTACCATTAAAACAAATATTAAAATATTGTATCAATGTGAGAGGAAATCATAGTAGAGCTATTTCAACTGTGCAGATTCAGGAAAACTTATGCTGCTATGATTTTTCCTGCAATAGCACACAGTCCAACAATTTGCAAAGGAATTTTACAACAGAAAGAAATGAGAATTCAAAATTTACCACTGAACATCTAGTGTTCTTTATCATGCATTATTTTCTACATCAACAGACAAAAATAAATAATGAAAATACAACAGAATGTTTGCAGCTTTTCTTTATGTTGGTAGTAACTCATTGCGTTCAAAAAAAAAAATGCCTTGTTATTTTTATAACAATAACCTAAATTAAACTAAATTAAACTAAATTAATCTAAACGCGACAGAATAATCTTTAAAACTTACAATGCTGCTTCCCAATAGACTGTTGTTTTTACTCGAGTCGGAACTCTGAGGTGAACTTTTCTGAAAAAGCAAGACATAGACAAGTTAATTCTGATATCTGGAGTTATGTCCCTTCCATACAAGAATAAACTATAATGTATTTTGAAGACCCTGCAGTAACATACAAAATATAAAAACATTGCTTGAACTTTAGACTTTGAAGATCTGATCCATCACCAGAATAATCAATATTATCAGATATAAAAATAATCACCTGTAAATGTGAATCTGAAGAATATCGAATACGATTTTTAAACATGGTCCGTAGTTGTTGGTTCTGTAATTCTTGATCATGAACTCTTCCCTGTAACTTGATACATTCTTCACGTAAAGACTGAAATACACAGCAAGGCACATTCATAATACGTCTTTTTTGTGTGACATGTCACATGGTTTGACAAGTTTTATAAATAATGATATTTGCATATAACTTAAATAAGGTTATCTACTGCTTGACTATAGTCTAAGTTTTCTGTGGTGTTGGTTGCAGTAACTAATATCACAGTACACACACATCGATAATTAAATATTAACTTGGTACTTTGTTTACCTTCTGAGCAAGGAGAGCTTGAACAACCTGATTGGCTATTTCATCTAGGCACTTCTCGTATTGTTGACGTTGTTGTTCATTTTCTAAAACCAGACCTGAGTTCTCGGCCTCCAGAATCTTTAAGCGTTCCATCAGTAATTTTGATTTATCAGGCCCTGACCCATCATCACTCTTCATGTTTAACTGAAAGTGAAAACAACAGACATTTACAGTTCATTCTTAAAAACTGGCTGGATATTGTACCAAAAACTTATGAAGAGGAAAGCCAAAATATCTGATCTTCTAGCAGTCTATCTATTTTCAGATACTTTCAACTAAATAATGAAACTAACCATCCTTATGATGAATTTTATTCTTGAAATATATCATCAGTAAGCTTCAAAGTTCTTATCATTTTAAGAAAAGCCTGTGACCCTTTTTGAAAATTCTGTGACCCAAACTCCTCTCTGCCCTGAAACACCAGTACTGTTAATAGTATACTATAAACATTACAATGACAGCCAGTGTAAAAGTGAATGGGTGTTTAAAGTATGTTGAGTGAATACATGCTAGGTGTAAATCATGATAGACAATACCTGTGATTCTAATTTCTTGACTTGATTTAACAATAAAATATTTTCTCGTTCTAGTTTACTGATATGGTTTCGATGTTTCTGGATACTGGACTGAAATCAAAGTGAAATACCAACATATATTTCTTATTAATCAAAGAATACAGAAATCAAATAGTCTTTTCATGAACAAAAGTATGTGTATTTGATGCAGGTCAGAAGAAATGCAGTGGAGAAATTGTGTTGATATTCGTATCAAGAAACTAAAATGTTCTAAGCTGCTCACACATGGATGAGTAAATAAATATCAGTCTGGGATTCCTTATGTAATAATTATACCAGTATACAGTATAAGATATAAGAGACATGTTAGTTGAATCAAGTCTCGCTTAAGACATAAGAGGGCATTTTGTTGCATATTTCACGTAGGTAATAAGAAATGGACATTACAGTCAATCAGCTTACCTCATATGTAGATGCCAAGTTGAGTTTTTCTTGTTTTAACTGTTCTATTTTAGTTTTATATTGTAACATAGACTGCACTGTATCTTCCATTCTATAATTTAATAACAATTAGAATCAGTTTAAATATACACATTCATCTACGTATTAGCAGTTTCAATTTCCCATCACATTTGTTACCTTAAAGTAAACAAGAATAGTCCTATTATTTGAATGCACTCTCAGAAGATATTCAACACACTGACTATCATTACAACTGTAGCCAAGAAGATTGACATTCCAATGTATTTTCTATAACTTACAATTTTTACTTAAATAAATATATTAGTCAAAACTCATTGAAATCCTCATTATACTACATGGATTTTCCTCAGTAATTGTGACAATATTCTGAGATTTTTACTTGAGCAATTTGACTTAAATATATTTGATTCAGAATAACCTCTATTAGTATATGTTGTATATTATATATTATTATTTGGTAGAGTAAAGTGAATTAGAGATGGTTCTCTCTTATCACAAAGTTTCTAATATTTAGTTATCTTAATAATATTAGTGAACTGATAAAAATTATTTCACAGAACTTTCAAAAACCAACAGGTAGCATCTGGCTGGCTTATTTAAATGAACAGTATATAAAAACAACAGTATCAAAATTTTTATCAAAGATTTTAGGACATTAATTTTGAACCATAAAGACAGGATACTGTTGGGTTGGACATTTTGGCACCCTTTAGATCTTCAATTCCCAAAATATTGAGAAAAAAAATTCTCATATGAGAAATTATCTTTAAGGGAATAAATGATGAATAAATGATGAATAAATGATGAATAAATGATGAATAAATGATGAATAAATGATGAATAAATGATGAATAAATGATGTGTTTCTCAAAAAATATTGTATGTTTCATTTACACTTATCCGATACAAAGTTTGAAATTTTTAAAGACAATTTTACCATGGATGTGCAGTGAAGTCTTGATTTGTAACTAGCTGGTAATAAAGGTATAAATCCTGGTCATGAAAATTTTTGCCTTTTTTCAAGGTCATTGGCCCTTGTTTGCACTGGCCGAATGGGTTATTGGGTGAAAGGACCTGTTACCTTTAATAAATATTGTATGAGTATTGGGTCCCTAGTTTGAACGAGTGGTAATTAAACACTCATCTTATTTAAAACCATAAAAATATTAAATGGCTCGATCCTGATGACTTACAATAATATAATTGAGTTTAGATCATCTTTGTTTATAATTTTATTGGCAATGGCCTGCTGGAAACAATTTAAAAAGAAAATATACTTTATCTTGTAGAAATAATTTCATGTTATCTCAATCATTGACGTCAATACACTAGAGTTGATTTGTTTCTCCTTATCTTAGTTCCTCTGAATAATTCTAGTTGAGATGCCAAAAAGGATGTTTTTACAGAAAAATCAGAAAAGTACAATATTTTCACCTGTTAAAGCAATCTATATAAACACACTACAGGCTATTGAGTACAGGAGTATAGTTTTAACAGATAATGAAATCACACAAGTTAATTTAAATCAGAGGCTGAAATTGAGTTTCATTCTGTTGTGTTCTGCCTATTATTATTGGGCTGATGAAAAAACATCCTACTACAATATCAAAGATACTTTTATTTTCCAACTACAGAATAATATGTTTGCTAATAAAAGATATGTTTTGTTCTTGGATTCCATTACTGTTCCTTATGCTAAACTATAATTCATTTTTCAAAACAGACTAAAGACTAAAGATCTCAACAATTGCTGCTATCAATTTTCTCAAAATAAAATCCCACTCTTACTACTTATTATGAAAAAGTCCACAATTTTCATGAAGTTAAAATGAATGTGAGATCTTAAGAACTCTGAACATTTAGAATGATTTCATGTATTGTATAGGGTGCAGACAAGATCAAACTTTCTAGTCCTATCTTGTGATGTTTAACTGACAAAGTTAAGCCAAATCTGCCAGTTAAAATCGGAGAAATAGAACCAGGGCCAAAGATCTTTCACGTATTTAAGAAACATAAGACACCATTTTCCTTTAAACGTCAAAGTTTTTTACAAATTTAAACGCAAATAGTTCAAGTTGATGACAGCCATCAAATTCTAGTTATTCAAATCTCTAAAAGATTGAAGTTCAATTGTAGAAACTGTTTCGTGTTTGAACTTCAAAGTTTGGCCTGCGTCTGCCTCCACTAATCAACTCTCATTTTGAACATGAATCGAAAAATCAATTTTTCTACTTAAATCTCATCTCTGTCGACCGGAAATTGTTTTCATCAAGATGAGCTAATTTTCATCGGGTTAAATTTGGAAGAGAGATTTTAAACGCTCAAGCAATCACAAGAATTAAACGACGTGATTTGAAGATTTCATTGATCACTCAAAAAACAGCAAGAAAATCTATCTTTCATTCCCTGTCATGTATTTTATTTAAGTCTCCATCAGATACTTCAGAATAAAACCAGAAAAGGCTAATTCTTTCCCATTCACATGCCTATTCAGTTGTGGTTTTTATCTAATTAATTGAAGATTTAATGAAAACATCATCTTCAATTCAATTTGTAAGCAAATGAAAACTCAAGCATTCAAATTCAAATACTCTACCACCATATTTCAGTCTTCAAAGGCAACCATGCAAGAAATGTCTTTTCAATATCCCCTAGTGTAATTTCAGATCATTTTACAAGTATTGTTGAATAAATAATATTTGCCTGTCATTTAAACTTTTGTTGTAAAATGATTGGCAATAACAATTAAAAACATGGCAGAAGACGGATCATTATTATATTTTACTATCTAAAATGTAATTAGCTATGCATACACCCTCTAAGTGGATACTTAATTTATATTGCCAATTGTAGAATGGTAACAGGTGCTAGAGAAGGCATTATACCCTGCCTCAATGCTGACACCATAGTTGTGACTTTTGCAGTTTAAGTAGCATTTCTTTGAAATTTGATGTCATATTTGAGTTGCCACTTGACTTCTAGGCCCTTTGTTAATAAGCAATAGAATTTCACAATAAGATATCAGAAGTAAACTTACTTTGTGAATTCTTCCTGTAATGATTTTAATCTAGCTCTACAAGCATCACTCTCTTGTCTGGTCTCTCTTAATCTCTGCTCTGCTTCCAGACGCATCATTCTCTCTTTTTCTATTTCCTTCATATCGGTAGAATTACTTCCCCCTCTCACCTCACGCTGTAAACATAAAAATATACTATTTTGAATATTTGAGTATATAGATGTATAGTAAACAATTGATATATAGCAATATAACATAATAAACTTTAAAATCTTGATAAGAGTACCATTGTCAAATGACCATACAGTATTGTGTTATTTTATTATAGTCAATTACTCAATAAAAGAGTTAACATAGGAATGTTTTTAATCAAATCTACTGTTAGAAATATGAATTCTATTTTGGGTCTGTTCTTTTAAAAATCAATTGAAAATATCAACATACAAATCCTAATCCAATCATTCATTTTTTTTTTCTTCTTTGCAAATTTATTACACCAGATGTTACATCAAAAATCATTATTTCCATCCTAATTATCATATTTAAAAGATTTTCAGCAGGTAAATCAGAGTATTTAAATCAATATAACACATCCAATGATTATGATGTATTGATTTGAATCTGAATAGCCCTAATATTCTACTATCAGCTGTTTGAGAAAACATTAGTGTTTGTACAATATCCAAAAACAAGATATTGAAGATCACTAATATTCTGCTGCAAATTAAATTTATTGCACATGATAAATTTAAAACTAATTTCACTTTTTATACAGATAACAATGAGGTATATTGTCAAATACATGTAAATTCTTTATAGTTGATTGCTTGCTGACATTACCCAGAACAGAAGAAGCTTAACAAGTTTATCAGATCAACAATGGATGACAAGTGTAATCACCCACATATAAAATGGAAACATCCAGCTTTGCATTTTAATCAGTTTGAATTTAATGCAAATTATGTACTGTGAAAACAACAGCTCTCAAACTGTGACTAATTTTCAGAGTTTCTGTATCATTACATAAATTAAATACTTTTGATGATGAACAATTTCAAATGAAAAAAAACCTATTAATTCACTAGTCGTGGCCTGTAGATAAGTCATTAGAGCAAGTAGCTGACAGAGTACCTACAACTAATTATTTTAACCAAGTCTTTACGATCATCCCACGAGACCTTCTCAATCCTTACATCAATTTACCCACAATGCATGGCTTCAGCTAATAAATTAACAAGCTAAATAAACGTAAATTTGAGGATAGAAATCTCCAGAGACTAACTACTAGTTTTCAACCGCTCTTAAAAATTACCAGTCCTGGTTCAGATCTCGTGTTTATTTTACTAGAAGGTCTTTGAATAATATTTGTGTATTGATTTGATATGATTCTGTTATTGGTGTTAGATTTCCTCTATATTGCCTACTTCAGTACTAATGACCAAATTTCTATCTCTGGTACTAACCACCTAGAGTTCAATAATATTACTATTCTCTGGAACCATCTAGTAACAATTTTATGGGGCCATTTATTTATTATTACACCAGTTAGTAGCATGAATCACAAGGAAGAATAACTATTAAAGACAGCATGTAAATCAAATCAGTTATATAAAGATAAACTGAAATTTCACTACTAATGCACCTTCTTGGGCTAATCAAGGTACCAAAGCTTTCAGCCCACGTCAAAGTATAATTTGGCACTTAAAACACAGTCAACACAATACAGTGTGTTCAACAGCAGCGATTATTTTCTTATTCTGATTTTCAACTGTCAAATGAATATGTAAAATATAAAATATTTGTCCTGTCAAGAAGTCTACAAACTAATTCATGCAAAGTTCAAAATCTGTTTTTTTCTTGATCTGTGACTGAATCAAAGATAAACACTTCTTGAATACTGAAGTTCAAAGTAATCATGTTTTGAAAACCTCTATGTAAAGCTTAATGATTTAATATTTTTTAATAAAAAGTTACATTACAAGGTGAATCATACAAGATGTTCAAACTTCTGATCTTGTCTTTTCATCAGCAGACCAGAAATAAGCTGATTACTTCCCACTGATAACATATAATTATACTCATTAGAAAAACTCATCAAAAAGCATTCAGGTGTTGTCAGATAATTAGCTATACCTGGGTTACACATTAGATACACATTCTCTTAGTTTCCTTCTTAGTAAACAGGGAGGGGAATCTGCCACAAGGCACTTTGGGTAAGATAAGGAGACTTTCTTTATTATCGGGCTACGGCACTCAACACTTGGGCTGTGTCACATCGGGCTGAGGCACTTGGGGTAAATGAATGGACTACGTAACAGAAGGCTGAGGCACTTAAGGTGAGGTGAGAAATGAAATGAGATGCAGTAGAAGTATCAAACTATCAAATAGGAGAAAGATTAGGTGGTCAAGGGAATTTATCAGCTTTGAAAACAGGGAAGTGAGAAACAAAATAGAAACAGAGAGGGTGGGGTGGGGAGGGAGTGAGAAATAAGGCAAGGTCAATGGATAATTTGATTTTTTCTTCTCTTTTTTTTACACTTTCTGTAAAAATTCTACATGATTAAAGACATGATTAAAATAAAGTGGTTTTACGTTATTTATTAAAGAAAAAGTTGTTAGAAAATTAGTGAGTATATGTGATAACTTTTAATCAGAAGAATTTGAAAAAAGAAGAAGTTTAGAAGAAATTAGGAGTGGGAGTAGAATACCTGACAGGTAAAAGAAAAAGATAAAAGAGAAAGGATAATACAAAACGTCTGGTAAACATTTCTACCTCCAGTAAACAATTTATATCATAATAAACTTTAATCACTTCAACATGCCAACTTCTTACTTTCCCACGAACCTCTTTCACTAGCTTTAACATACAAAATATTATTACCATGTACTCTCCTGAAGAGATCCTAAGAGACCTAGACCTGGTCACTGGCTGCAAAGTGGCATCAGGTGTGCTTGAGGGTGGTTCGGCCCTGCCCTTAGTCTCACAGTTATCATTGTGGTGGAACATGGTAATATAGTAATTACTCCGACAAGTTGACAAACCAGTCTCAGGGTGGCATCAGGTATTCTTGAAACTGAGAAAAGCCTTTATTGACAGTGATGCCCATAACAGTAACCAATGATAATTAGTATTACTCAAGACTCAAGAGTAAACACTAGTTAATGTATTAAGGGCTTGTGATTTCATCATGCATTTTTAACTTTCTCACATGTATACTGCACTGCATTATATTTATTCTTGTGGGTATAAATTGATCAACTTCATAGAAACACTGGCCAATCAAAGCAATTTACTATACTAAGAAACAGGTGTATAACCAAACTCAAATCCCAAGTATAACTTTCATAGTGTATATTTCTCACAGAAACATTTCAACTGATAATAATATCTATAATCCTACATTAAACCACAGATAAATAACTAAGATAGGACTGGGTTAACTTCAAATACATAACCTTATTATTTCTCAATGATGCATCATCAAATGTAATATTTTTTAAAACCACTCAAAGGTATGAAATTTTACTTTTCATTTCATACATGTATATGTAATTTTAAGCTTTCTTAATTATTCTTTTCTACATTCCATATAGGATTAAATCAAATCTTGATCACGGTTCTTCATCCTATATTGATTCTTTATTAAATAATTCATAGAAGAACTGATAACAATTCAAGTTTGACTAATCTATTAGATACAGAAATTTATCAAGCTTCATAAGAGAGTGTAAGATTGATTTCTTTTTACTTACTTATTCTGTCAAATTAATCCTTGTCTTGGTTCCATAATATTACAACACAGGTATCGAAATATTCCACTTCTTGTGTGATGGCATTTCATCACAAATATCAATGGTTCAACTAATCTGTACACACTACATAAATTTATGACCAGTTCTAACACAGAAATTTAAAACAAGTTCCATTGAATAACTGTTTTGAATGAAAACCTAGAAAGCACTACAATACTGTTTCATTAATCAAGCTTAAGACAAAGGTTTACTAAAATCATGTTTCTTTGTCTATAATAAATACCAAGAGTTCCACTAACATTCCATACCAAAAGTTTACTCAATTAAGATAAAATAAATGTTACATTTTTATCATTGGTATATATACAGTAGTTGAAAAATGTATGACACTATTTTAACATAGACTAGTTCCAGATATACTAAAATCCAATAAAGAAACTATATCATTCCAGTACCCTTTACAAATAAATGTATAAACTTCTTCTCGTGTACTATCATATTAGAAGATAAGAAATATTCCTGCAAAATGATATCCAGAACAGATTCATTCATTGCTTTGATATAGAATACATAGTAGCAGACTGGTATATAAGTGGAAAAGAAAGATAGTTATAGTGAGATGAGATATGGTAGAATGAGTATCAGTAGTATAATACCATCCTACCCTCCACTAAGTTTTTACCTCAATTTACTCACTGTGAATACATTCTTCTTACTTTAACATTTTAAAGAGATTAGGCCTACAGATTTTTCTTTTCCTGACATTCAATGATACACAGATATGATTGTATATACAATATTAGTCAGAAATTGCATGTAAAAAAAACATAAAATCACATATTAATTTTTTTGTTTTTATTTCTCACCAATGCAGTTAAACCATACTGAGTTGCTTCTGTTTTTTAAGCCTGATTAAACCCAACAGCACAAATATAATACAAAATATTCATGCCATTGTCAACCATTATAAATAATTTGTACTGACTTTGTGCTTTGTAGGAGAAATTGAAGCAAAACTACCAACTGGTATTCATACTGAAGATATTGTATAGATATTTCTGTGGGAGCCACTTTAACTAAGTACAATAAAGGTGTATTTTTTAAAATTAGCCATCTGGAAGCAAAGTTGATTAAACCATCAAAATTTTAAGTTGTGTGTTTAAACACTGCCATTTTACTAATAAGATTTAGACTTAGACATACTTGGGGGTCACAGTATCCAACATGCCTGACATCTGGTCTATCAGTTTAATACCTTACCCCCTTTTAGTTATACTAATCAAGCCGTATACTCCCTTCCTTATTTCCTCTTTCAAGAATGCAAGAAACGTCAAGGTTACATTCTCCTTTATCATTCTTTTATAATTAGACCAAAAACATGTCTGCCATT